AGCTGCTAGACGGGTAAGGGCAAAGTCAAGAGGGTACACAAAACACAAGGATGTGGCACCAGCGGCACCACCTGATGCCAGATTCCCTGCAAAGTAGCGCCAAAACTGGGTCCTCTTGTCCACACCACCCAGGAAGATCTGCTTGTATTTATCTTTGAAGGCAAAGTTGAGAGCCTGGGTGGGGAAGTATCTGATGACATTGGCCAGGTTACCACACCAGAAGGACAGGACTCCCTGCTCCATGGGGATACGAACCACGCAGTCTATGATGCCCTTGTACTGCTTATCTGCAGTGATTTGCTTGCTGGCATGCTGCACCTGCAGCAGCAGCTTGACCCGCTCGATGGGCGCTACTGCGGTCTTGGAGATGGCCGCGGCCACTCCACCTGCCAGGAAGTCCTTGGTGAAAGACACAGTGGCATCTGTCATGTTGGAAGGTGAGAGGAAGCGGGCGACTGCGAGAATGGTAAGGGACCAGTTCAGACTCCGAGGCTGTCAGGATGCATTCTTAATTGCTCCTCTAATCAGCCTCCCTTTGAGTGGTTACCCGAACTCCTGTGACTCCATAAATGGCCAATTTTAGTGATCTCAGCCTGATGAGGCCTTCAAAGGAGGGACATCAGTGAGAATGTGAGACAGAGTGGCATAAATTAAAATTGTAAATTTTCACAAATGTTTTATTCTCAGGTAATGACTTAAAAACATTTTTTTTTATTTTAGTGCTCTGAAAGCACTGAAAACAAAACATTAAAAATAAATATAGTGCAAAAGAGAAGTGGGCTTTGAAATTCCAACCACTGCTAATGATGTTACTTGTTTTTCTCTAGTGGCCCTTATTGACAGAAATACTTACAAAGACTGAATCGGTTTTATGTGGTCTTATTATGGAAGAAAAGACTGTCAGTGAATATTGTAAATAAAATCTTTACTCTTTTCTTTCCTGATGATGAATATGTAAGTTGTTTTCATGGCTTAAGTGCATTTCCTCATTTGTGAAATTTGAGTAATATCGTTTAAATTGTCTGACTGTGAGAGTTAGATGCCTTGTATACAAAGCACCCAAGAGGTGCTTAATAAAAATGTGCTGTCACATTGACAGATACTTTAGAAGGATAAACTCTGAATATTAAAGAGGGTGGCTTATTTCTGATGCATATTCAATATGTATGTATATGATATATATGAATATGGTTTAAAGTAACAAGGATTCATTTTTTTTAGTGCAGAATTAAGTTTTAATGAAATCTGTATCATTCTAGTGAGACAGGGATTAGTTAAATTGCCTTAAGCAGACGACCTTGAAGATTACTTACACAGAATGTGTATTGTTACAACTTAGAATTCATGTTGCACTCAGAATTTTAAATTATTGGGATTCTGACCAGATCCATTAAGTTTAGAAATATCCACATTGATCATTTTCAGGGAATAAGCTTCTCTTGTGATTAAAGAAAATTTTGATTTTTTTCCCTGCACTCTAAACAGGTTTAAAATATGAAAATATTGATTTGACATGTCACTTTTTTAATAGAATAAAGCTCATGCTGTATTATTATGTAAATAAATGTTTGTATTTCAACAAACTTGTGTGATTTTCTGGCTCTTTGAGAAGTATTTTGCAAGATACTTAGATTACCTACTGTTGGAAAAATACAGACGTGACTTTTATGAATATAGGCCTAGTACAGATTTGTTGGTTTTTGCTACAGTGCAAGACATGAGGCCTAGGAGAGCTTTGCTGCCGATTGCCAGGAGGACAGATCCCAGGTCTCAGTCTCCCCTCCTGTAAAATGAAGTGGCTGGACTGGATTCTTTCCTCTTCTAAGATGAGTTTCCATGAGCCTATGTCTTTTGTTTATATTCAGGAGTATTAGCAATATCAGATTAAATACTGAATACCCCTCCCTTCCCCCGAAGCAAAGTGCAATATGTGCTACATAAGCTTTTAGTTATCTGATTCTTGTTTCTGATCCTACAGGCAATTTTTGTGTTGCATGTTTCCCGGAAAACTGGAAGGTCCTTTTAGCCATAGGTGGTGCTGTTGCACCTTCTTACAGTCTTAATTTTCCTGTTTGTAAAAGAAGGCTTAACCAACGTTATTTTATTTTGATTTCTTTGCTTAATGCTTCAGAATAGCACAATGTCCATTATGTCTGTCTACCTGGAAAAATTATTCTGCATATCTTAGTTTTATTCTGTCATCTCGCTGTGAACATTTCAGACTTGCTGTGTAAACAATGGCAACATCGGACTTTTCTTGCAGTGTTAGAAACCAGTGAGCCGGGATTTTATAAAACAGCTAGAAGCGGCCTCTGGAGCACCTTAAAGCTGAAAAGTGTATTGAGTTCCCTGAGAATTGACCCCGCCACTGTGTGATAATTGGTGGGAGGTGATTTGGTACATATACGAAGGTGTGTAGTTTTTTGACTTGGGTTTGCGTGCACGCGCTGCCACTGAGCCACGTGAGACTGAGTCAGTTCATTTTGAGTTTTTCCCTCGTCTGGGACATGGGGAAGCTCATATCTGTTTTGTAGAATTGTGAGAATTTAAACTATGTAAAGTGTTTACCTCAGTGGGTATGTCAAGAAGGCTCATAAACTTTAGCTCCTGTTTTGTGTGAAGCCATCATTTTACAGTCTTTGGCAATAAGTAAGAAACAGGAAAATAAGAAAAGCTGGTTTTATGATGAAAGACATTTGAGGAGGTTCCATAGTTCCTATACCCATAATTTAGCATCAGCAGAGTCAGAACTGTTACACAGTCACCCTGAACCAACGTTAAGCCACAGAATTTTTTGTTACTTCATATATGTTGGGGCTTAAGGGGATCCAGTACTTATACACATGTTGTCTCCAGCAGCCAACTGAGAGATGACACAAAAGAGTAGACAGACGATAAATGTCTTCTTTGTTACTCATTAAGCCACGTTCTCCATGAACTTCAGGGCTGTGGGAAAATGAGTGTCATGATACTGTGTCCCAGAAGTAGAGACTCACCCTGTCCCAGGTAACTCTGGACCACAGTGAGCCTTCCCTTGAGAGGATCTGCCCCATCATGCACAGGGCTGTCCTTCCATGGAGCTGAGCATTCCAGGTGCTTCCCAAAGGTGGCCAACACTAGAGGGAAAGGAAGGGTTTCACATGCCCTGCTTGTCTCACTGGACTCACACGTCACTCTGTTAGTGTGAGGAGGGCTAGCTGTGGGCCAGGGGTCAAGGATGTGAAGGGACAAGCACTCTCCGTGGCCAAGAGGAGTGAGGAGGAGGCATCCACTTCCTCAGTTTAAACAGGTGGTGGGATGAAACAGAAGGGTGCTCCCCAAGAGTTTATAAAAGGAGAAATAAGGATTATCTTTGGGACTTAGACTAACCAGGAAACATAGAAGATGATTAGAAGGGAGACTTGTAAATCACTTTCATATTACTTTGACATTTGTTTAGCACCAAAAATGTGCTACATTCTTTTCTCAGTGTTTTACCGAAATGAATCCTTCTATCTTCTCAACAAGCAAGTAAGAAAGGTTTGATTGTTATTCCAGTTTTGCTGTGTGGAAATTGAGGCACACAGAGGGAAAGTTGGCCAAGGTCACTGAGCTAGTAAGTAGCAGAGCTGGTATTTAAACACTGGCTGTCTGATTTTGAGGCTCCCAGAGATGGTCTTTGGGTGTTTAGAGGTATCTGCATCCCAGGATCTCTGTCCTCTGTGCATGAGTTAGCCAGAAAGGACAGAGAAAGGAGAGTTACACAGGTGCTGACAGTCATTTCTCGCCCACTGTCCACGGAGAGTGCACCGTGATTAGCGTTGTTTTCCAAGCAGTAGATCTGTTCGTATAACCGAAATTTAGTCCATTGAGTTAATCTAGAAACCCTTCCTGCTCTGTTTCTGTCCATGCTTGCCCTGTGACTGCCTGCCCGTGATTGGGCCATTGAGGAGAAAATGTACTCATGGTTGAACTCTGATATTTCAGTCTGGTTCATAGTTTCACGTCTTCTGTTACATTAATAAGATTAGTTTCTGGTTTTCTTGCATCAGTATCTCATGAGTTTGGTTAATGTGAAACCAGTCCATCGGAGCCCGGGGGTGCTGACGGTATAATTTCTGAGAACGTTGTGGCACTTCTACCCGTGCAGACCTGACTGGAGAATGTCAGCCTTCCTCACTGATTTCCCACAACAGCGGGGTCCTCTCTCACCCCCGGATGTGAGGCTGGGAGCTCTCTGAGTAGGCCAGAGGCCAAGTCCACCAATCAGAAAATAATGAAGTACCTGGAAGTGGGTTTAATAGAAGGAAAGGGCTTCCAGGAAGTCCGATGGGCTGTTCGAGTCCGTTTGGTGAGAAGGTGTCCACTGTCTGTGGTTGAGCTGCTTCTTTACTGTTGAAAAGTCTGGATTAGATGAAGGGATTTTAAAAAGCAGAAAGAAGTGATTTCAGGTGGTACGTCCACACCGGTGAGAAGTGATGGATGACCGCCTGTGTGAGGCATAGACAGAGCCTTACAAACTTCATAAAACAGGTTTAAAAGCTCTGCCATCTGAGTGCACTTTATAAGGGGTCCAGTTCATGGCTGGGCGTGCTGAGAGGGCAAATAACTGATGATGGCAGAAAGGACACGGAGGCATCCAAAAGGTCTCAGTCATATTCCCTGTTTAAAGGATGTGGCACAGTGTAATATATTTGAGCTGGTTTTTCACTGAACAGTTTTGAGTGTTTTTTGGGACTCCCCAGTGCCCCAAGTTTCCATGCAGCTGGGTGTCCCCTCAAAGCAGCTCTGTCAGCGCTTGCCCTGGGCTGACGCGGTGTCACGGGGAGCAGGATGATCAGTGTCCCCGGCTCCTCCGAGCTCCGTCTCCTCATCCGCAGAGCCGGGTTTCTCATCCGTGTTTACTTAGTAGGGTTGCTGAGAATGACACGTGATGGTTGTCAGGTGTGACTTGTGGTTGTCTCTGTGATTGGCATATAGTCAATATTTGATAGAAACACTTGTTTTTTATTATAATTGTAGCACCTAGATTGCAGTGGTTTTTAGTCTGCCTTTTTTATAACTTTATTCTTATATTTTAATATGCACTTATTTTTATTTATTTTTTTTGGTAGGTTACTGTGGACTGAAGCCAGGATATTGTGCATGCTAAGCAGGTGCTCTACAACTAATACACACCCTTCTTGTCTGCACTTGAAAAGAAATATTGCAATACACATAATAGCTCTTAAACACCATCATGGACCTAAT